TTATTTATCATTTTAAACCCTGTACTCACTAAGATTAGGCTACGTGTGTTTGTGGAGGAACATTATTAAATCCACTGGCTTTAGCGCAGTCTCTCACTCATGGTGCGTCCAGCAGCTGAACACCCTTTCCTGCGGCTACAGGTCGAGATGCAGAGTTCTGATCCGGCTGATTTTGCAAGTTTTTTGGTAGGATTGTTTGTTCATCTTCTACCAGTCAGGAACATGCATTTAATTTTTCATGACAGCAGTTTCACTTTAGCGAATGGCCTCTTCTTTTTACCTGTCAACTTGCGGTTCAGGGCTCTACCGTAATACGCAGTGTATGAGTGACCGCGAAATACCTGCGGCTGGAATGCGCTCCTTCTGAGCTAGTGACTGACTTGACCGCCGTCAAAATTCTCTTTTTTTTTACTACTTCGTCATCATTTGTTTCACCTTTGCAGGGATGGATTTTAATGCAGGGATTTGGATTTTTTCGGGTCTCGCCGGGTTCGGTCAAAGATCTTTAGCTCTAATGCAGACCTCTCGTTCATATTAACCACGTCTCCCTTCTGTTCAGTCGAAACTGCCAAACTGCAGGACACTTTGAAGCGCGACTCGTCACGTCACCTCTCCCCCTCCCTCTCCCCCTTCTCTCCCTCCCTCTCCCCCTTCCTTTCCCTCTCTCCTCCACACTGTCCCGTGATGACAACCACACATACGTTTTTGTAGGCATTAAATAAAGGATATTTAATATTTTATGACGGTATAACGGTATTGAAACTGACACCGTTGCTATTTTTAGATCCCGCGGTATACCATAATACCGTAATACCGCCCAAGCCTAGTATAAACTTGTTCTGACCAACAGATTCATGCCTTTCACAGATCACTTCCTTTAAATGGAGGGAAATATGCTCATTTTACAACTCCCCTAGAGTTAAACAGTTGAGTTTTGGCATTTTTTAATCCATCCAGCTGATTTTCAGGTCTGGAGGGAGCACTTGTAGCTTAGCTTAGTTTAGCATCGATCATTGGATTAGATTAGACCATTAGCATAGTTTTCATATAGACTATAAATCTTGACTGTTCCACAAAATTCATTGATGTCACAAAACAAATTGTTTAAGTTAACTGAACACTTTTAGCAATTTTATGTGGATTGAACATAAAAAATTAAGTTTTTCCAATGAAATCTCAATAATTGTGTTGATTGAGCTTATTTTAAATAAGTACTGACCACTGCATTAAAGATTAGATAAAACTGTGTAGTGCAGGTAAAAGTAAAAGTGTAATCCATCCAAAAATACAGACATTTTTAAACAACATAACATAAACATCGACTCGGCTAATAAACGTTCCTGGTTTGAACAAGCAAAAAAAATGATGTACTAAAACCTTGTGTTAAATTAAATGTTGCTATTTTATAGGCTGGTATTTCTAGGAACCATAGTCTTATTAAGGTGTAATCAAGGATGTTTACCACCATACTATGCCTGCAGCAGACGCAATAATATTAAAAATCTGCCAAATTCTGTGTATTCTTGTTCAGATCTATACAGTTTAGGATCTGTACCAAAATAAATGTCTTCTGAATCATCTTTCACAAAAGTCTCAATTGTTGCAAGGCATGATACCATGTGCAAGCAGGTTGTCAAGTTGATTATATTGATGGAAGTTATTCAATATTTAAGGGCTGTGTTATGTCACAATAACTATTTTAATAAACTGAAAATTCCAGCTTGATCTCATAGGAAAACATAAAAGTTTTATGTATTTGCGAAAAAGTGACATTGAAATTTACACTAATTCATATGATTTAAATTGAATGAGGTGGCATGGTGGCTCAGTGTTTAGCAGCAAGAAGTTGGTTCGTTGGGCGCTGGTTTGAGCCCTTGCCGGGTCAGTTGGCATTTCTGAGTGAAGTATTTTCCCCCTGTGTACTCGTCGGTTCCCCAAAGTCCAATGACATGTGCTATAGGTGAATAGAATAAGCTAAATTGGCCGTAGTGAATGAGTATGTGTGTGAAAGTGAGAGTGTATGGGTGTTTCCCAGTGCTGGGTTGCGGCTGGAAGGGTATCCGCTCCGTAAAGCATATGCTGGATAAGTTGTTGGTTCATTCCGCTGTGGCAATCCCTGATAAATAAGGGGTCTAAGTCGAAGGAAAGTGAATGAATATTTTGAATGAAAACTTGAGTTTGTAAAGGAGGTGTGCTTCCAAACCACACTCATTAACCCAGCTGTTATTGTGGGTTGAGCAATTTGTACTAAAATGTAAGAATGACATTATAAAGATGTATATGATTTAGCCACTAAATAAAATAAAAAAATTACAATTGCTGTTAAATTTTGTTGAAAATTCATTATTAATAATTATTAATCATCATCATTTGCATGCACTTATGTCACTCATAACTTGAGTCACTTTTTTATGCATAAGACAAAATAATAGTTATTGCTGATTATCAAGTTGTTAAGTTTGTAACATGCACTTTATATATGAAACCTTTGAACACAAGTACTTAAAAAAATAACTGCATCTCAGTCAGTATAAGAAATTATAAGCAGAGTGCGAATTTAGGGGGGATCGGAGGTAAGACCCCCCCTAATTAATGCTTTATCCCCCCCTTGAAGGACATCAAAACAAGATGTATTGTGGGGGTCTGCTCTTTAATAGTTAAGAAATAATTTAGTCTGATCTACTGTATATCTTCAAGAAATTTAATAATTAAAATGGTAGATAACTAAAATATACATTTGACCCCTCCTGTAATGGTCCATACTATTGTGAATGCCTGTTTGCGCCAAAAAAGATTATTTCTGCAGATTGAAACTGGCAAATCCAGAGCCCCAACAGACAGCATAAGTGTTCACAAAACATGTTCTTGTAAATAAGGCATTTGGACTGTAGGTGTCCGTAAAACTAGATGCATAGTTTGTATTTTATTATACACTTGCTTGCACATGGAAGTTAAACAGCAAAATAAAACACGACTTTCATGGTCATCCATTAATAGGTTTATTTAATATCACAAATGTCATCGAGAACCGCCCAATATCCCTCAAAACACTGAAAACAATGATTATACATAACAATTTATTTTGAATTTTGCATTGCATTTCAGTGTTTTAAAGTAAAATTGAAAATTAAAGTGTCAATTTTACCAACAATATCTTTTTTTGCAGGGATATCATCTGTTTCAGTGAGTGTAGCTCATTTGTTAAGTAAAAAAATGTCACGTTTGCATGTTTTATCTACTTTTTCCCAACCCATGTTCTTAGAAGTTACTTTGTTCCAAGCAAACAAGTTCACAGGCTCATATGACGACATTTATCTGCACTTGGATTGCACAAACAAACATGAAATTGTATTTTTACAACATGAGAAATTGACTGGTTTTGCATTTACATAAAATCTGCAGATTGTAATTTTAGCAAGTTCATTGTGCTACATTATAGGGTCCAGCTAAAGTGCAATCCCCACACTCACTATTAATAAACTGAAACATGTACAGCAGTGTTTGCTTTTAAAGCAATCATTTTTGTTAAATTAAAAGCATTAAATGAATTAAATGGCTGTTTTGCAGAGTGGGAGTTGTCATTTTTTATGTTGAATTATGCATTGCATTTAGTTGTTTTTTTAAGTAGAATATGTACATTTTAAGAGATAATGTTTTTTTTTTTGGTTTTTTTTTGCAAGGATATCATCTATTTCAGTAATTGTGGCTCATTCCTTTAAGTTAAAAAATGTCACGTTTGCATGCTTTGTCTATTTTTTCCCCAACCCATGTTGCTAGAAGTTACTTTGTTCCAGCCAAACAAGTTCACAGGCTCATATGACGCCATTTATCTGCTCATGGATTGCACAAACAAAAAAAATGTCTTTTACAACATGAGAAATCATTGACCAGTTTTGCATTTAAAAAAAATCTGCAGATTGTAATTTTAGCAAGTTCATTGTGCTACATTATAGAGTCCAGTTAAAGTACAATTCCCATACTCACTATTAATCAACTGAAACATATATAGCAGTGTTTGCTTTTAAAGAAATAATTGTGTTAAATTACATTAATTAAATGGCTGTTTTTGCTGAGGGGTTGTTATTTTTATGTTGAATTATGCATTGCATTTAGTTGTTGTTTTTTATTTAGAATATGTACATTTTAAAGATAATATATGTTTTTTTGGCAGGGATCTCATATTTTTCGGTGTGTGTAGCTCATTCCTTTAAGTTAAAAAAATGTGACGTTTGCATGTTTTGTCTACTTTTTCCCCAACCCATGCTGTTAGAAGTTACTTTGTTTCAGCCAAACAAGTTCACATGCTCATATGACGCCATTTACCATGCTCTTGGTTTGACAAACAAACAAAAAAAAGCCTTATACTAAATGAGAAATCGTTGACTGGTTTTGCATTTACATAAAACATACAGATTGTAATTAGCAAGTTCATTGTGTAACATTAGAGTCCAGCTTCAGTACAATCCATTGCTCACTGTTGTTAATAAACTGAAACATGTATATTTCAATGTGGTCATGTCGTGAGCATTTCCTCATCACCAAACTATTTCATAACTGTAACAAGAGGCAATTCAATCATAACTTAATGTTAAAACAAATAGCTATTAATGTTAAAGCCATCATAGCATTATTTATCAATATGTAGCTCTTTTTGGATTCTCGGAAGCTATAGAAATTAACACAGGAAATACATTGGGACTATTGTTTTTGTTTACATCCCTCAAAATGGTCTTGACATTAGCCTAAAAGCATTAAATGAAGCAAATTGCTGTTTTTGCTTAGGAGGAGTTGTCATTTCCAATGACCCCTGACTGACTGTACAGCCTATTCAGCCAAAACACATTCTCATATATGCAATTGAGCTCCCGATCAACTCTTTGTTATCATAAGGTCCATGTGTTCCTAGTTAAAGATTGACTAGAATTGAGAATTATTAACTTTACATAAAATCTATTACTCCTATCAGTGTTATGGATCAGTGCTGTACGCATACTAACAAATTCACTCAGGAACTCGAGCAAGTAAAATGGACTTATTATGGGACGATGCTTATTTTGAGAAGAAAACTATACACTAGACAACTAGATTGCGCGCGAACACAAACAGGTTTTGCCTGTGCGTGTGTATGTGTGTGCGGCTGTCTGTGTTTGAGAGAAAGAGAGAGAGAGATGTGCGTGTGTGTGTGTGTGTGTGTATTTTCTTCAACTGGAGCGAAAGTTAAAGCGTCTGTCGTTCGTCATGACGCTGTTACATCGATGAAGGGATTTTTCATAGGAAACAAACTGCACTTTAGATAGGTAAGTCGACTTTTAATTGATGTCAGGAAACATCGTTATATTTAATAATCTGTACTTGGTTTGCTTGGCAGAAGTTTGCGATACCTTTTAAGCCCTTATAGCGACGTCCCGTTGTGGATGTACTGTAACTGGCATGCGTCGATTCTCAGGGGAAGCGAAACATGTCTGTGATTAGTTTTACAGAAGTGATTTGTTAACACACGAATACAAGAGAAATATGCAGTCCCCAAATGGTGGGCTTTCTGCGACACACCCAGAGGTTGTGAGACAGATGTGAGATCTTCACTCGATCTAATTCTGATTTTGAATGAAAAACTGATAACGTAGCTACTGTAAGAGATCTTATTTGCAATGTTTAGCACTGATATAAGATATATAATACAATACAGAAAGTCCAGACACCCTTAGTTCACTTGACGTTACAAGTTTTAAGTTCATTTTTACAAATGGACGCCGTGTTCGTTTAATTTTTTGTGTTTTAGTATCCATTTTGTATTTAACCCCTTCAGACATAAATTATGTTACCAGAGTAAACTAATATATGACCATTGTTTATTTCTACTTGAGATGCATATTAATCATCACAAGGAATAAAATGGTTAATTCATTACAACTTCATTTTAATAAGCTAAATCAATGTCATTTCTATAGATCCAATTTGTTATTTACTTTATTTATGAGATATGATATTTCCTAATTATTTTTAAAGGCAGAGAGGATGAATTTTGTTGATGGGTTTCATAGCATAATATTATGACTTGCCTTGGTATCAGTTAAAAAGTTTTAAAGTATAAATACTGTTTAATTCCTTGTTGTTTTGGGCATTTTTCATGATAGTGTCAGCCATTCTTAGAGATTTGGGTAAGAAAAAAACAAACTCAAGAAAAATTTAAAGACTTAATAAAGTTTAAAGGCCTCTTACTGTACATATTTGTGTTCATTTGAAAGATACTCTCTAAAATTATATCAGATTCTAATTATATCTAGAGTATTTTTGCTTTTATACTTCAATGTCTGACTAATATTGACAATTTTCATATAGGTAAAGTTTGTGTCATCCATTTTAGGCGATTTGGGTACAAAAAACTAAACTCGAGAAAAAAGTGCAAAGGCTTAATAAAGTTTAAAGGCCTCTTACTTTACATATTTATGTTCATTTGAAAGGCAATCTTTAAAATTATATCAGATTTTAATTATATCTAGAGTATTTTTGGTTTTATACATCAATGTCTGAATAATATTGGCAATTTTCTTTGGTAAAGTTAGTGTCAACCATTCTTGTAGATGACAAAAAGATATAATAAAAAATAAATAATAAAAATAATCTCTAAAATTATATAATATTTTTTTTATATCTAGAGTATTTTTGGTTTTATATATCATTTTCTGTATAATATTCTTTAGTTTAATGTACTTTATGCATGTTTGCTTTTCATATTCTGTGCCTGGGGGGAAAAACACAATTGTTGCCCTCATGTGGAAACAATGTGCATGACCTTCTTTTTACTTTGATTGATCAAATTCACTTTTGTCTCTTGATTCAGGTGTAAACATGGCCCATCGTTCCCAGTGTTCCTCTGCCGGGGACAATCCCCTCGACCCAAACTACCTGCCCCCTCATTACCGTGAGGAATATCGCTTGGCCATTGATGCCCTGGTTGATGCTGACTTAGAAGGCTACTATGGGTTTCTTCAGCAAGCAAACGTGGTTGATTTCTTGTCCCAAACAGAGATTGAGTATATCAAATGCACAATACGGGCTCCTAATCAGACTGCCCAGCCAGAGAGGAGATACATGGCTGAAGATCCAGATGGCTCTTCTGGCACTTACTGGCCAGTACATTCAGACCATGATGCTCCGAGTTTGGACTTAGGCTGGCCACAACAGTTCCGATTTGTTGGACCTACTGAGGTCACTACATTGGTGAACCCATCTGACCCTGAGATGCCCAGTATCAAGGAGCAAGTTCGTAGAATGATCAAGAATGCACAACAAGTGAGTTCAAGTGCACTAAGTAATATTTTATTAATGCATCAAAAAAGGCAGCGAATATAAACTGTTTTCCTTTGTCACTTTGTTGTTTTAAATAGCTTTGTACTGTTTTCACAAGCACTGCTTACTAAAAAGGTTAGTACAAAAAGTCAAACTGGTAACTCTAGTTTTACAGCTGGCCTTTCATTCTAAACTTGACACAATGACAGCTATTATGCACTCTTGAGGACACACTATTAATCTTCTATTATTAAACGAAGAGTTAATTCAATTGCAAACAATATAAGATTTTTGTACTAATCCCCCAAGGTTAATATAATATCAAAATAAAAGTGTGTGATTAGTTAAGTCTTGAAATGGCTTCAATGCCATTTTTTTTTTTACTTCTTAAATTTTTATTTTAAAAAAAGGCCAAAAGGGGGAGAAAAAATAAAGAACAAAGTGGTTGTCTTACAGGGTTACAAAATCAAGTCACAATATATATATATGAAGCACATTATCACATATTATGTACACTGGCGTAGTTCATTTTTGCCAATACTTGTTGCACTTTTTTGAATCAAGTTTTGGGTTAAAAGTCAGTCTCTCCATACAGTGAATTTCCTTTACAATTCCTATCCATTGAGTCCTTGTAGGAGGATCAACCTGAAACCATTTTCGAGTTATTGCTTTTCTGCTACGTACCAAAAGTATTTGAATAAAGTATTTGTCAATAGTTGTAACAATTAATTTCTGGTATTTCCCAAGGTATAATGTAATAATTGAGTAGTCAAATTCTCCTCCAGTTATCTTTTTTATTTAAGTTTTTACTTCATACCAGAAGGGCTGTATTTTTGGGCGAGGCCAAAAATTGTGAAAATTGTTAGCCAGAGGTTCCACGTTGTCTCCAACAAGAGCCCAAACCTTCAATACCTGTGCGCAATGCAGACAGTTTAGGTGTTATAAAGAACCTCATCAGATTTTGCCATCCAAACTCTTTCCAAGCTCCTGAGTTTGTGGTTTTTGCGTGTGACACACATATCTGTCCAGTCTTCCTCTGATATTTGTTGGTCTGACTCTTTCTCCCGTTTTTGTTTTATGTAATTTGATGAATGAGTTTTACTGTTTTGTATGCATTTATATAGTTTAGACACCAGTTTTTTGTTTTCTTCTTTTATGTATGCATCCGAAAATACTGTGATCAAGTTATAATCATCCTTAAATGTATTCATAATTTTATGTTATAGTAATCTCTAACTTGCAAGCATCTGTTCTTTAATGCCATCTTAAAGTGATACTTCACCCAAAAAAACTATCTTCCTTTTGTTTATAACCTATTTGAGTAAGATACTTTGAAGAAAGCTAAAAACATTTAACCATTAACTTCCATAGTATGTGTTTCTCCTACTATGGATGTCAGTGGTTTTCAGCTTTCCTCAAAATATCATCTTTAGTGTTCAACTAAAGAAACTCAAAAGGGTTTATAACCTTGAGGGTGAGTAAAAAATACATTTTCTTCTTTGGGGAGTGAACGATTCCATTCACTCTTAGTCATTTATCAAACGCTTTTGTCCAAAGCAACTTACAATTCAGGAGGCATTCAGCGATTCACCTAGAAGGGGCAATACACAAGAAGTGCTAGTCGTATGAAGTAACTTGTTTGTGCTCAGAGAATTCAGTGCTAGAGTAAGAGTCAGTGCTTCCCACACATAGACTTTACTTGGTGGGGTTAACAGCTGTCCAAGTATATTTAATGACACATTTTTTTACTATTATTAACATCCTTTTACACTTTTTTTATATCCGCCCAATAGAACCACACATCCACGATTGATTAATTAGTGGAAAATCTTCTCTTGTTTATCCATTTCGTTCTATGTGAGACCTGTCAACAATCTGACATGCTCTGCAGACCCACAGAGACGTGCCTTTTTGGCACTTGTCTGAGATTCTGCTTTTGCTTTCGCTTTTTAAAGCTGTCGTTAATCGTATTTGATTTTGCAAGAGAGTGAAGCCTCCTTTCCACTGCACACGACAAGTGACAGACTGAAAATCATTCATGTCTAATGGAGAGCAGTCCGGGAGCTGCGTTGAGTTCCGATCATCTCAGCATGCGAAAAATTAGAATTGAGCTGTGCATCCGTTAAAATATTTGAACTTATGCGACTAGGCCGTATGCGACCGGCCGACCGAACGTGATGTATTCTAGTGTTGTACAAGCAGGTCCGTGAACGCGAGATGAGAAATACTAGTTTATTTGGTTATTTTTTTTATTTAATAAAAGTCTACATTTAAAAAAAATAAAAATTTCTGTTTATAAATGTAATTTATAACATAATAAAAATATTATTTTTTTATGTTGTCTCTACATTCCCTCCAATATTCTAGCGGTCTATGAGTTTCTAGTATTCATTCATTTATTAAACCATGTAAACGCACAGAGAATAAAGGCTCTTGCGTTTGCACTCCTTTATTTCGGACACTGAGAATCAGCTTCTCTCCCATGTTGCACGACAACACTGAAAATAGTGTGCGACTGCCACAAGAGGGCGTATTCCGACAGTCGTGTCCAAATGTCGTGTGCAGTGGAAAGGCGGCTTGAGAGAAAATTAAACAATTCATTCTTTAATCTTAACAACTCAGAAAAACCTTACTATGTACTCGAAGAGGACGAAATGACTGGTCTAAACTGGCTGCGAAATATATGTAGGCCATTAATAATATTTAATCTGCACATTTGCCTTATTTAAATAATCTACATGTTTTAATCTTGTAATTATGATAAGTTTTAGAAATATTGTGTGTTTCTATTCCTTTTTTTGTCATTTATTTCTCATTTGCTGATTATTTTATTAATTTGATGATGTTAATATATTACATAGGCTATTTTATATACATATCTAAAATGCTTTGGCATTCATGTTTGCTTTGAACTTGAAAGAGAGAGGAGATTTTGACCTGTCAGTGGGTGCACATGGCTCCTGAATAGCATAGAAGTAAGAGAAATCGTGGATCGTCTTTTTTTTCCACTTTAACACATTGGAATGAAACAGTGTATAACAGTGTCATAATAAATTAAATGATTGTTAAAAATTAAATAATGTTTGTTTATGTGATGTGGGTAAATGGTGTTTCAATCTGGCTACCACCACAAGTATATTTCAAACCTGTGGGAAGCACTGGGAGTGTTTTTTATTTATTTAATGTTGTCATAAGTATGCCTTTGTACTGTAAAAGTATAATCCATATCCTGCAGACCTGTTTTCTCTCTGATGTGTTTTTTACAGTTGAGGCCGTTTGAGTTTCAGATTGGGTTCATTTGCTCTTGGGAGACTTTAATGTCTGAACTTTTGCCTAGTGTAAAACAGACTGGTTACCACATTGTCAACAGTGATGGCCCAGTTTAAGTAAACATAAACGTAGACAGTGTTCCTTGCCCTCCACCTATCTTCATCTGATATTCACTTCTTTGTCATTATTTTGTTTGTTCTTTTGCTGCAGACATTATATACTGTTGCTTTAGAATCATTTGAAGTTATCATATTCTGTTGCATACTTATTCACCTTATTCTTCGCCGACGAGCAGGCGCAGCCATTTGAATCTTTTCGGCTCGAGACTTGTGGTCTCATTCACTTCCATTCATTTTTAGACATTAAAAACTGCTCGTTTTGCTGTTTGATGATGCAAACTGATATTTTCTTATTCTATTATTCTACTTGGTCTGTATAGTCATGCAAACATTTGTTTGTAGAGCAAGTAGTTTAACTGTTTTCTGTCATTTATTTTTCCTAGTCATTTCTCCCATTGGCGACTGAATCGGAAGTTCTAAAACAATCGCGAAAACAGACGCACTTCCGCATTTTAGATTAAGGTCAATAGTGGACATTTAAAAAAGGATGATATTTTGAAACACAAACAAGTTAACAGCTTTTCATTTTAGAATAAGGTCAATAGACAGGCCTGTAAAATGGCTCTACAAAAAAATGTCAGTGAAAAATATTTTATATTGTAATAAAACTACATACTAGTGGAAAAAAGTTCTAAAGCGATAAAAAAAAAACCTGAAACTCACTCTAACATCATTGCAACACAATTGTTTGTTTTTTTGTAATATATTTGTATTTTTTGTTCCAGGTTATTGCTGTGGTAATGGATATGTTTACAGATGTCGACATCTTTGCTGATATCCTTGGTGCAGCAGCACGTGGTGTGGCTGTCTATGTTCTTCTTGATGAACTAAATGCTCACCATTTTGTTGCAATGGTGAACAACTGTAGGGTTAATCTGGAGGAGATAAAAGTAAGTGGCATATGCCTTTTTAAATATGAGGCTTGGCGCAAATTTAGTTGTCGTAAAGAGGGTTTTGTTAGCATGTTAATTAAAGTGAAAGATCACCCAAAACTGAAAATTCTGTCATTATTTATGCACCTTTCATTTGTCACAAACCTGTTTGAGTTTTTTTGTTCTGTTGAACAATCAAATAAATATATATATATATATATATATATATATATATATATATATATATATATATATATATATATATATATATATATATATATATATATATATATAATTTATTTTAAATATATATTATTTTTTCTAGAGCCATTTTTTCTAAAAAAAAAAATATATATATATATATATATATATATATATATATATATATATATACTGTATATATATACTGTATATATACTCAAAGAGGTAAACATTGATTTATACTGTTAGTTTTTCCTACTGTGAAAGTCAATGGTTACAGGTTTCCAGCTTTCTAAAAAATATCTTATTTTAAGTTCAGCAGGACATTTTTTTATAAAGGTTAGGGTCCAGTTGAAAGTGAGTAAATAGGTAGTAGGTTTTCATATTTGGGTGAACAACCCCTTAAAAATGGATTGTCTTTCACATTGGTTTAAACATTGGAATAGAAATATCATGACTGATACTGTTTGTTCTTTTTATTTGTTCTTTTTATTATGTATGTTTTTCGTGCTGTAATTAATGCTGTATGTAAGAGTAATATAGACTCATTTGTCATTGTTTATTATTAGATAGTTCATCTTTAAAAGACAATTAAAACGTGATTGTTAGAAATCAGTACAAATGCAGATGTTTTTTTTTTCTTGCAGTGTATGCGGGTTAGAACCGTCTCTGGTAGTACCTATTTCTGCCGCACAGGAAAGACTTTCAAAGGTCAAGTGATGGATCGCTTTATACTTGTTGACTGCCGAGCTGTTTTAAGTGGCAACTATAGGTGAGTGCATTTTACATTAAGACAAAACCTAACCTTAAAAAACAAAAACGCAACCTCAAAATATTTTAAACATTGTGTGGTCAGTTTTTTCAGTCTTTTATCATAAAATGTAATGTAATGTGTATTTATGTAGCTTATTTATTGTAAATGGCCGTACAGGCATTTATTGTGTATTGGGGGGGGGGGGGGGGGTCTCTTCACACCACCACCAGTGTGCAGCATCCACTTGGATAGCCACAGGATAACAGCGCCAGTGTGCTCACCTCACACTAGCTATTGGTAGGGTGGAGAGATAGTAGGCTCGTTTGAGATGGGCAAAATCTGAGCAGAATCGATGTCACCGGTGATCACTGCAAGATGCAGGCCAGTTAGAAATGTGTCCGAGTTGCATCCGCCTTGCTCTGATGTCATGCTGACATGCGCCAAAAAACTCTCGCGACGGTGAGGCGCATGCGTCGAATTGAGCAGTTGGCTGCAGTTGCTCTCCACCGTCTGCGCTCACCAAAAGCATTATGGGACTGGCTCACGACAAAGCTTAATACTTATTGGATGAGACTGACAAATTACACTTTATATCTCGTTTTTACTGATGTTTATACCTGGCTTTGTTGTATACGTTTTTCGTATTTTCATTAATAGTTAAAAAAATGAATATTTGAAAATATATGACCACAGAGAGTCAGGACCTCAGGTTAATCCCTCATCTGAAAGACGGCGCTCACTGACAATATAGTGTGCCCTTCACTATACTGGGGCATTAGGACTCACACAGAACACAGGTTGAGCGCCCCTGCTGGCCTCACTAACACCACCTCCAACAGCAACCTAGTTATCCTAAGTGGTCTCCCATCCAGGTGCTGACCAGACTCAGCCCTGCTTAGCTTCAGTAACCGGTCTTGGGCTGCAGGGTGATATGGCTGTGGCATGTGTCACGTTAAAGTATGTGTTGGCTAATTGATTTTCTTACTTTGTGTTGCAGCTTCATGTGGTCTTTTGAGAAGATACATCGCTGTCTAGCTCATCTGTTTCTGGGACAGCTTGTGTCCACCTTTGATGAAGAGTTTCGGATTCTGTTTGCCCATTCGGAGCCACTAGATGTTGAAAATGTTTTGGCCAATATGCCACACTACAGTAGTGAACCTGAAAACTACTACAACACAGAGAAGACCGCCATGTTTAACAGACAATATCCAACTGTTGGCATGGACTGGCCTGAATGTACTCCAGCTGTTCACATGAATGTGGGTCCCAAGATGTTACCCTATAGAAGTGAATCCATGCACAGTGCACCAGTGGCAATGCCTGCTCCCCAACAATATAGAGGAGATCATCAATTCATAGAGCATGGAAGGCCAAATAGAGGACCAACTGAAATGGTTGGATACAAAAGGCATAGCTATGGAAATCTCCCTGATTTTGAATATATGTCCCCTCAAAACCATCCAATGAGAGGAAATCAGTACATGGAGGAAGCAATGTCCCATGGTGGTCACTTTGCAAGAGAGCCACATATTTACCAGGGAACTGGATTACAAACTAGTTATGACATGTATGGGAAGTTTAGAGGCCAAGGCCACCATGTTGATCCGTTATCAGGCTCTGGCTATCCTCCTGAGGTAGATGAAGCTGAACCAACTGGAGGTTATGATCATGTTCAAAGATATCTCCAGTCTCACTCTGAAATAGAGGAAGGTTATGCTCCAAAACATCTATTGCCACATGTGCAGTCTGGCCTTAAGAGACATAGCATGGGATATTCTTATAAATGTCAGACCTCCCCAACTCAACCGAACCAGCCAGAACAGAAACGTTTCTTAAACGTAAACCGCAAACCACAGGATCTGAGTCAAAAGCAAGGCATGCGGGATTGGAGGATTAGCTCATACCTTAGTACATGTGAGGATGCTGGAGATTTGGATGTTACTGAACTTGAAGGATCAAGTGATGAGGTTCCATGTTTTACACAGGAAGTTCCTTGTGGCCCTATACGTCCTGAAATTAGACCAGGAAATCGAGAGTTAAACAGGATACCTTCACTAAGGGAAAATCTGATACCTGTGCAGATACAGAATGATTCTGTTGTACCGGTTAGTTCAGTTAACCATCCAACCGACTTATCACAAATCAATTTCAAATCAACACCAACATCGACCTCAGAGTCTTCTTGCACCACTGAGGGTGACAAAGCAGAGGAGATGCAGAATAGAGAACCCAAAGAGACTAACCGGATTAGTGAAGAGTTCCTCAAGAGAAAACCCAGCAGACCTGTTCAGAGGAGTTCCAGACTGAGACACTCGTTGATATTCAGTTCAAATTTAGAGTTGAATACACAAGAAGAGATGAAAGATACAGCAGGAGAAATAGATGGGGATGAAGCTTCAAAACTGTCAGCTCGTGTGTCACATATTTTGGATAAGAGGAGGACTGGTTCTCCATTTCAGCCATTTCAGTGGAGCAATTTTACTAAGTCAGCCACATTTGATAACTCTGCCACAGAGTCTGCAGAACCTGAGGATGAACTAAGCAAAACAAGTGAAAAATCGGATTTGGAAAACCCACAAAATCTTCAAAAGAAACCAATAGAGGGTGCTCAGGAAGAAAAAGACCTGCCTCAAACCACAGTGCCTGAAGGAAATAGCAAAAGGATGGAATCTCCATCAAATGCATTGCAAAAATCATCATCTCTCATAGATATGAATGACCCGGACTGTAGACTGAGATATTTCAAAGAGTTGGCAGCCAAACGCAAACTTTCAGCAGCAAAGTCTTCTCAGAACAATCCAGTGAAAGCCACCCAAAAATTTGCTCTACCAGAGAAACCTGCAAGTAATGACACAGATAAAAAAGCTGTTTTCAAAACTCCAGACACTTCACTTAAATCAAAAACGACAGCTGTTGCAGCAGAAATCAAAGAGACATATAAAGATCCCAAATGTGAAGAATCAGGTAAAGACATTCTTCAAAGAGCTACAGATGCTGAAAAAATTAGATTTAAGAAAAAACTTGCAGAAGAGTCTGGTTCAACTTGCTCTGGCTCAAAAAATTTTTTCCAAGAAATCAGAGATTCAGCTCTAAAACCTGTTGAGGAGGCCAAAACGGTGTCTACAGTTAAAAATCAAACCACTTCCTCTCAAAATCAAGTGAGTTCTGTTGCATTCAATCCTGCCTCAACACATTCTGCCCCCACTCAGCATCACATTGACAAAGAAACAAAACCCTGTCATGGTGTTCTGGAAGAGGGTGGTCTGCCTGTAAAGTTACCACAGACAAAATCAATGTCAACAAAAAGCACCACTCCAAATAAGGACTGTCTATCTGCAAATGACTCCCAAACTCTTGAACAGAGCTCACTCTGTATTTCTAGCACATGCTCAAATAATGTATCTCTGGATTCTAGCTCAGCATCAAACCTTGCAATTGCAGATAACTGCATACCCTCAAAATCTGACCACAGAGTTACAAGTCCTTTCACAGTACTTTCTACAACTGAAGTTAGTTCTGCCCAAGACGTCGCTCCAACAAATGTAGGCTCCTCTCAAAGCCTAAATGATACTGAAATAAATAAAAACACTTCTCAACAACATATTTCAAAGCAAACTCAGCTCGTAATTATAGAAGATGAACCTTTCCAAAAATCTATATCATTGAAAACAGGCTCCTCCCAACCCCCTCTTGCCCTAAAGCCTACTGCATTGAGTGAAGGCTCAGCTAAGCTCACTATTTCTACAGAAATTAAAACCTCACAAAATGTCCCCATCACAACAAAAACAACTGACTCTGTACAGCATCCAGCATCAGAAAAGGGTGAATTATCACTAACCTCCTCTACAATTAAAACATCTTCTCAACAGCCAGTGACAGAGGAGTACTCTTTTCAATCTCCTGCTAAAACTGGGACTGAGGCACAAAGTAAAACCACCAAACCAACCACTGCAGTGGGGACAGATACCTCTGCAGTGAGAACCAGCATTAAACCATCTCAACATTGCACTGCTTCTGACTCTGCTGTACTGTGGAAAAACTCTTCTGAACAACCCACCTCAGGTGAGATGGACTCTATTGAGTCTTCCACTTCAGAATTTCCCCTACAACACACTGCAAAAGAGAGTGAACTTTCTCTGGATCCTACCACAGCAGATACAAAATCTTCCATACAGCAAAATCCATCTGCTTCAGCCTCTTCACAACATCTGAATGCAACTAAGACAGACTCGTCTCAAAACCCCACTGCATCAATCACAGACTCTTCCCAGCAACCCACTGCAACAGCCACAGACTCTTTTCAGCACTCCACTGCCAGTTCCAGCCAGTCCACTGCAAAAGTCACAGAATCTTCTCAGAACTCTACTGTAACAGGCACAGATTCCTCCCAGCAACCATCTTCAACTGAGGCAGATTCTGCACAGCTGCCTATTGTAGCAGAGGTAGACTCTTCCCAACAGATTCTGCATGCTACAACAGAAACAGACCAATCCCAGCAGTATACTGCACCAATCACAGACTCCTCTAAGCAGCTCACCGCCGAGGTCACAAAGTCTTTCCAGCAGCCTCCTCCAAAAGACGCACATGCTTTACAGGAGGCTGCTTCAAAAGTGGTAGACTCTTCCCAGAAGCCTGCTGAAACAGAAGTAGACAATACCCTGAAATTTACAACACCATACACAGTTTCTTCCCAGAAGCCCAGTGCAACACAGAATGTTTCTTCAGTTCTGTCCGTTGCAACTGAGATTGACTCATTCCATCAGCCTGCTGCAAGAGAGACAGACTGCTTCCAGCATCCCAGTCTAACAGAGGCCCACTTTCCCCAGCAACCCTCTATGACTGAAACAGACTCTCTCCAGAAACCCCCTGAAACAGTCACAGATTCTTGCCAGCACCCTGCTCCACCAGGGACAAACACTTCTCCGCAACCTGCGTCATCTGAGAGAGACTCTTCAGAGCAACTGTCTGTCACTGCTGGAGTGGTAAAACAAACCACTCCAACATTCACAGACACGTCCCAGCAGACACCTAAATCAGAGACATACTTTTCCCAGAAAACACTTCCAATAGACAGAGACAACTCCCAGCACCCCACTGCAAAGCAGATGCAGTCCACACAGCAACACACTGCACAAGACAGCGACTCCTCCCATCAGTCCACTCCTGTAGAAGCAGATTCTTCCCAGCAGCCCACTATAATAGAAGCAAGCTCTACACAGCAGACTACTTTATATGAAGCAAACTCTTCCCCGCAGACCATTGCAACTGAAACAGACTCTTCCCAACAGACCACTATCATAAAAGCAAACTCTTCGCAGCAGACCACTGCAACTGAAACAGATTCTTCCCAACAGACCACTATCATAAAAGCAAACTCTTCGCAGCAGACCACTGCAACTGAAACAGATTCTTCCCAACAGACCACTGTAATAGAAGCAGACTCTTCCCAGCAGACCACTCTAATAGATGCAAGCTCTACACAGCAGACCACTTTAATTGAAGCAAACTCTTCCCCGCAGACCATTGCAACTGAAACAGACTCTTCCCAACAGACCACTGTAATGGAAGAAAACCTTTTCCAGCAGACCACTGCAACTGAAACAGACTCTTCCCAACAGACCACTGTAATAGAAGCAGACTCGTCCCAGCAGTCTACTTTAATAGAAGCAGACTCCAAGCAACCCACTGCAACTGAAACAAAGTCTTCCCATCAGTCCACTCCAGTAGAAGTAGAGTCTCCCCAATACCCCAGTGCAACAGATACATACTCTTCCCAGCAGACCACTGCAACTGAAACAAAGTCTTCCCATCAGTCTGCTCCAGTAGAACCAGACTCTTCCCAGCCGACCACTGCAACTGAAACAATGTCTTCTCAGCAGATTACTCTAGTAGAATCAGACGCTTCCCAGCAGACCACTGCAATGGAGACAATCTCTTCCCAGCAGACCACTCTAGTAGAAGCAGATTCTTCCCAGCAGTTCACTGCAACAGAGACAGTTTTTTCCCAGCAGACCACTCCAATAGAAGCAGACTCTATTTCAGAAGAAATAGGCTTGTCTGAAAGATCCACTGCAACAGAAACCGACTCTACCCAGCAGACCAATCTAATACAAACAAACCCTTCCCAGCAGACTACTGCAACAGAAACAGATTCTTCCCAACAGACCTCTCTAACCGATATAGACTCTTTACAGCAGACCATTTTAACAGAAGCAAACTCTTCCCTGAAGCCGACTGCCACTACCACAGACTCCTTCCAGCAGCCTGTAGCAGTAGAGGTTGACCAAACCATGCAGCTCAATGTAACAGAACAAGTATCTTTTCTAAATATTTCTAAAATTGGAGAAGATACTTCCAAACATCCTATTGAAACAGAAAACAATTCCCATCAAATCATCACTGCAACAAGTTCTGACTGTGCAGATGAGAAAAAAGACATTATTGTATCTAAAGACTTGAGCAAAGCATTACCCATTTCACTTGTCAGTACTGGTGACGTAGATGTGAGCTCTACCCAGCCTCAAGTTTTACCAGAGCCTTGCCTTTCCTCAACTAAAATTACATCAAATCAAGATAGCACAGAAATCCAAGCTAACATATCATCAAATTCTATGGAATCTAGCTGTCCAAATGACCCAAAACCTGAGAAAACTGATGAATGCCAGAAGAATGAATCCATTACAGTACAACCACAGAAGAATGACACCTCGGCTATAGTTCCAGAGAATGAGATACCTCACACAGAGGTTTCTACAGTCATAGGCCCTAATAAGGTTGATGAAATCAAACAAACATCTTTAGAAAAAGAAAACTCTGTCTCTGACATTTCAGAAGTGTCAGAAAAGTCCAATTTGACTGTAACCCATGATTCAGAAAATAAGTCTACTGTTGCAGACAGTCCAAAATTGATTTTGTCTGCCCATCAGTCATCTACAGCGAATGTTATCTCATGCAGCAACCTTAGAGATGACACTAAAGTTCTTTTAGAGCAAATTTCAGCAAAGAACCAAAGCAGATCCACCCAGTCCAAACAGACTCTTTCTTCACCCAATGAAGCTAAAGAGGGTGAGGTTAAATCTGCATATAAATCACTCTCAAAATATTCGGGAAGGCCCTGGTCCGAAAAGGCTACAGCAGAAGAACGGGAGATGTTGCTACAGAGGATGGATCAAATGCGGAAAGAGAGGAAGGTCTACAGCCGTTTTGAGGTATGTTATGGGATTTATGTAAATTGAAAATTTCTAGTTTTATTTTACCAGATTGTGTAAGGGTGCATGTACTTTGTTTCAAGTAGGTTAATTGTTTGAATTTGATGTTTTCACAGGCTTCATGAATTTAACTTTTTGGAAAAGTGACTGCAGGAGTAGACTGTAAAAAGGAAACAATATTTCCTAATTTTGCTCTTTCCTCCAATCTTACCTCATAACTATGAACCTGCACAAGCTTGGGATAAAGTGTCTCATAATGTCTGATTATACAAAGAGTGCTGCCTATGCTGAGATAGTGAAAATCCCTGAAAGACTTACAAGGCTAAGCAGATGAACTGTGTGCCAAAAGAAACAGGAACACAACCCTTACCAGATGGAATAAGCTTTCGATCGGGCAGGATATTACTTATTGTGTATGTATATAGCTGTGAAACACATTTCTGAATCTTTCGTAATTATCAGGATATCTGTCCAGAAATTGGGAGTTGGTAGATATATGGTAAAAAAAGTGTTGTTTACCAAACAAAGAGGTACAGTAACTAAAAAGTGAACTTGCTGGTTACAAAGCATGTGAGCAATGCAACCCAGGCTCATTCTGGTTACGCACCCCACTATACAATTCTGGAGAGAGCGAAATACGTCCCAGGAGCTACATTTTTTGCAGTTTTTGTTTTCGCGAATCCACCAGAGGTCGCTGTGTATGCTTTTTCACATTTTAAATTTGCTATTCAGATCAGTGCTATTTACGCCTGCTGTTCTCACATAAATCCACTAGAGGCCGCTGTCGACTGACTATTCACTGACTGAATGTCTGATCGACTGACCCATTCTTCCCCTACCCTAAACCCAACCAAAGTTTTAACCGCGGTGTTTAAAAAAGCAGTCCAGAACAAGGAAAGCTCTCACCTGATTTTTACACATTTTAAGATTCTCACCCTGTTATTTACTTGTTTATTTGATTTTTTAGCTTTTGTTTTTGTCTTACCTGTTTTCTGGAACCGTTCTTTACCGAATTCGAACCCCGTTTTTCACGGTCAACTCTGATCTGCGTCTCAAGTCCATACATGTCGAGCTACTGGACAAACTGGTAACAAAGGGAAAGCCGTTCATACGGAGATAAGCGGTCAGCTGGTAAGCGAGACAAGGAACAGTATAATACCTCCCTGTACCATTTGTAATAAAGATAAAATGCAGCCATATGTAGCTCTGCCGATCTCCAGGAACATATATAGGGCTATGTTTTCAGAATGAGCCTATGTTGGAGCAATGTGGACCGGTGGTGAATATGTGAAACTGCAAGGAGTAAATTGTTTTGGAATTCTTGAAGACCATATAATGTTCCAGCATGCTAACAAGTTATTTCTTCAGTGTCAATATAGCTACAATAGAAACATATCTCTAAAAATTTTACTTTTTATTATTAAAATGTAATTATATTATAAAATGTAATATAATTATTAAATGTAATTATTTTTTGCCCAAGTGTTTGTAATATTTTTAAAGCAGATCATAATAGCAGATCAGATCTGGGCACACTTTTTTTTTTTTTTTTTTTTGTGTAGTCAACTTAAAGCAATGAGAGAACAGCAGAAAATATGGAACAAACCAAGTATGACTAGAGGAAGCTTTGGACAAGGAAAGGGAAATGAATCAATCACAAATGCAGAAAACAGGAAAGAACGTTCCTCTAGATGTTTATCCATCAGTAGATTGTTATATATATATATATATATATATATATATATATATATATATATATATATATATATATATATATATACACACACACACACACACACACAGTATATTTACATATGTACATGCAATAGAATGTGTAGCAAAAAATACCTTTTTGGGGATTTTGTTTTTGCTGTGTTGAATGAAATGTGCAATATTGTGAATAGTGGGATGATGTACTGATGTTGATTTATTTAAAATTGTGCAATGTAAAGTTGTTAAACAATAGTTAATATAGTGAGACCACATCTGTTGATGGTTCCCATTATTTACCTGTGTTGAAATGCCTGTTACATGTTGCCATCCATTTTCTAAAGATTGTAAATCTAAATCATGTTAAAGTAATACGAGGTCTGTTACACTGACACGAAAATAAAACTGAAAGAACAAGTTTAAAATATCAAAATCTGCATTGTGTGTTATGGGAAAGAGATTTACTGTGAGAAACCTGTTTAAAATGTGTACTTATTTTAAATGGTATCATTATGGATATTTACATTGCCTGACAAATCTTGTCTCCTATCCAAGTTTTAGGATCAACAAATAACTTGACTTCATTCATTCATTTTCTCCTCGGCTTAGTCCCTTTATTAATCCAGGGTCGCCACAGCGGAATGAACCGCCAACTTATTCAGCAAATTTTTTTACGCAGTGGATGCCCTTCCAGCTGCAACCCGTCTCTGGGAAACATCCACACACACACAGACTCATACACTACGGACAATTTAGCCTACCCAATTCACCTGTACCACATGTCTTTGGAATGTGGGGGAAATTGGAGCACCCGGAGGAAACCCACGCGAAGGCAGGGAGAACATGCAAACTCCACACAGAAACGCCAACTGAGTCGAGTTTCGAACCAGCGACCTTCTTGCTGTGAGGCGACAGCACTACCTACTGCGCCACTGCCTCGCCTAAATAACTTGACTTCTAGTTGATCATTTGATATCAGAAGTGGCTCATATGAAAAGCAAAGGCCTCTAGATCACACTTATTTTACAAAATAAAATATGATTATGCCTCGATTCTTAATTATTTAATTAGGACAGTAAGGTCTGGCTTTGCTTAGACAAAAGTCTTGTCACTTAACATAAATAATGTACTGTATAGAATATAAAGTCATACTGCAGTTGAAAAAGAATTAATATTTTGTATGACTCCCATGAGCTTGGAGGACTGCATCTATACATCGCTGAAATAACTGATTAATAAAGTCATCCTTGCAGGACTCCCAGAGTTCATCAAGATTCTTAGGATTCATCTTCAATGCCTCCCTCTTCATCTTACCCCAGACATGCTCAATAATGTTCATGTCTATAGTGACTAGACTGGCCAATTCTGGAGCACCTTGACCTTCTTTCCTTTCAGGAACTTTGATGTGGAGGCAGAAGTATGAGAAGGAGCGCTATCCTGATGAAAAATTTGCCCTCTCCTGTGGTTTGTAATGTAATGGGCAGCACAAATGTCTTGATACCCCAGGCTGTTGATGTTGCCATCCACTCTGCAGATCTCTCGCACACCCTCAATACTGAATGTAACCCCAAACCATGATTTTTTTCTTCACCAAACTTGACTGATTTCTGTCAAAATCTTCAGGTTCCTTTAGATCTTCAGCAGTATTTGATTATTTAGAAGCAGCTCAACAGATGATTCATCGTAAAATTCTACCTTCTGCCTCTTTTCCAAATAATCAACTAGAAGTCAAGTTATTATTTGTTGCTCTTACAACTGGGATCAACGACAAGACTTTTGTCAGGTAGTGTATATAACAAAAACCTGTCATTAATTACTCCATTCCAAAAATGAATAAAGATAAAAGTTTTTGTTTATTTGTTTGTGTTTAAAGACAAAATAGTTTATTTTTATTTCATCAAAACTACTTGGGACCAGTTTTATTATGCAACCTGTTGCTTTTTATTGTATGTGGAAAAAAAATAGTTCAAACACACTAAATCATGACAGAAGTGTTATCTTTAAGTCAATTATTCTTATAATGGTTGCTTTCCTTTACGTAGTTACGTGCTTTTGAGTGTGCTTACCTAACTATGTGACGTGATCTTTAATTAGCTCGTGCTGCAAAAAATGTGAATTATGCAGTTAAGCCTAAATTCATCTTCGCCAAACCAAATTACAGAACACACTTTTTTTAGTCCGTGATATGTAATCCTGTGTTACAAAATGATGTATATGTGACGTCACTTGAAAAAACACAGAGCTCTTTGTGTGGATTTGTACTTTTGTAATGGCATGTCAAATTCACTCGTCAGTTTAGGCTAATCTCTCAATATAAGCTTTTCTTTTTTCTTAAATCAGCATTAGTTCCACTGGCTTGTCCCAAAGTCTCCCACAGCAGATATAACAGTGCAGATCTCAATAATGAAACTGGTATTTCAGCAACAGACTTTGACTGCAAGCATGGCTGGTGTAATGAAGACATTTTGCCACATAGCTGCTTTCAGCTGGTATGCCTTTATAATTCAGTGTATTTATGCGAAGGATGTTTCAGATCTGCCTTCTGGGATTTTTGTTTACGGCGGACCCTGGAAATACCTCACGTTTTTAAACCTAGTAAGATGCTATCCATGTTTTTGTTCTGTTTTCGTGCTGAAAAAGACTTGCTTTGTAAACTGTGGTTTGTCAGGTCTTACAGATGGTGTTTTTTGGACTGGCGTCTGTGAATGACCTTCAGCCTGTGGGGAAAGGCTCAAAGATGTCTCTTCTCTGCCTCTGCAAGGACTTGCTCTTTTCGGTCTTTGTGTTTCCAGTGGGAATGGTGAGTGTGGGTATTTACTGTAATTAATTGATTGTTCTGTATTTAATTGATTGATTTTTATTTGATTTGATTTTGAGGTCATTTATGGTGAGGTTGTGACATTTTAAGTTTATGTGTCTGTACAAGTGATGAATCTCAAGTGTGTTGAGGATCATTATTCCTTTGAGGATTTAACTTTCCTACATTGTACATGTGGCATGCTCTTGAAAATCTTTCAAACACTCTGAAAATAGATTTTAAATTAAGTTTTTAAGCTGAATCAAATTAACTTTATGAGTCTATTGAACTTATATTGTCTTAAACTGACTTAAACGGTTTGCTTAGCTTTTAAAATGAGGTTGGAACATGATTAACTTAGTTTAATAAGTTACAATGAACTAAAAACATATGTTGTCATGACTAATTGATCATATACATTTTAATAGTGTTCTAAGTTATTTTTGATTTAGTGTGAAAAGCATTATAATAATTTTAATAACCATATACACTCACCGGCCACTTTATTAGGTACACCTTTCTAATACCGGCTTGGACACTCTTTTGCCTTCAGCCTTAATCTTTCGTGGCAAGGTACTGGAAATATTCCTCAGAGATTTTGGTCCATATTGACATGATAGCATCACACAGTTGCTGCAGATTTGTCAGCTGCACATCCATGATGCGAATCTCCCGTTCCACCACATCCCAAATGTGCTCTATTGGATTGAGATCTGATGACTGTGGACGCCATTTGATTACAGTGAACTCATTGTCATGTTCAAGAAACCCGTCTGAGATGATTCGCACTCTGTAACATGCAGAGTTATATAGCTGGAAGGACCCATCAGGAGATGGGTACGCTGTGGTCATAAAGGGATGGACATGGTCAGCAACAATACTTAGGTAGGCTGTGTTGTTGACACGATGCTCAATTTTTACTAATGGGCCCAAAGTGTACCAAGAAAATATCCCCCACACCATTACACCACCATCACCAGCCTGAACCGCTGATACAAGGCAGGATGGATCCATGCTTTCATGTTGTTGACGCTAAATTTTGACTCTACCATCCAAATGTCGCAGCAGAAATCGAGACTCATCAGACCTGACAACGTTTTCCAATCTTCTGTTGTGTAATTTTGGTGAGCCTGTGCGAATTGTTGTCTCAGTTCCCTGTTCTTAGGTGACAGGAGTGGCATGTATATGTGGCATGTTCTTGAATATCTTTCAAACACCCTAAAATAGGTTTAACGTGGGTTACCATCCTGGATTTCAAAATGAACATTTCAGTAAAAATTCGATTTCAATATTTAGCATTTTAATAACTTTAACAACCCTATATATATATATATATATATATATATATATATATATAGATAGATAGATAGATAGATAGATAGATAGATAGATAGATAGATAGATAGATAATATTTGTATTTATTATTATCATTATTATAATTATATACATAATGATATAATTGTGCATGGGTGCAACACTGTATGCAAAGAAAAAGAAAGAAACAGGGTCAGTAGAAATAAAAATCATCAGTAGAAATTTAAATAAATTGATCGAAATTAGAAGTAACCAAAATGAACTAAATTGTAAGAATATGTGTAGTTCCAGTGTGTGCAAGCCTACAAAGTGTTTTGCGGGAGAACAGAATAAAATAATGTGAAATTGATGCAATTGAAAATATATATAATAACAATGTCATGAATTAAAAGAATGAGAACCTGCTAAAATTGCATTCATTACTCACTGATACGTGCCTATGTGTTGCACAATGTTTAGTTTCAACAGAATGGGTTAAAGGGCAATGGCGTTTTTAAATAATGATATTACGCCATCTACAGGTTATTACTGGTAATAACATAATTTTAAAGAATTGATGAATATCGTGTCGTCTTCAGTCTTTAAATAACAAATGATTGCAATAAATGTTTGACATTGTAAATACTCCATATCTTAATAATTGAGTTGTTGTTGGGTTTTTTTTATTTGTCTTAAGTTTGTAGTTCTGCTGTTTTGGCTGATTTTCGCATATGACCGACAGCTGGTCTATCCTGCTTCAATAGACAACTTCTTCCCTCCATGGCTGAATCATGCTATGGTTTGTACTCTATACATGGTAGTTTTTTTTATGTCAATTAAATGATCAAAGAGATGGATTTTTGGGGATCTGTATGCAAAACCAGTCACATTGTACATGTTTGATTCACAGCACACAGTTGTTCTGCCAATCTTGTTTGGTGAGATCCTGCTGGAGCCTCATGTCTTCCCCAAAACTAAAAATGGTTTAGCGGCTTTAGGAGTGGTTGGTCTCGCTTATTTAGGATGGTGAGTATGATTTGTGCTCCGCTGTAGTCTTTGTAGTGTCTATATATGACTGAGCTAGTTATTCTTGTATTGAATGATTTAAATAAATAATAATTATTATTCATTATTGTTTTGTGAACAGACCACAAAAACAATGCAACTAATTCTTGAGCAATAAATTGTATGAAAGTAATACAAAAACACACATATAATGTATTTATACAATTTGTTTTAATGTAAGAAAAATTCAGGAGACAGGTAAAAAAAAAGAAATATAGTCTTCTTACTTACTCACAGGGCCATTTTAGATTAACGTTGTTATTTAGCCCCACCATGTTTGTGTTTCACAACATCTAGTTTTTATGTGGGGGGTGATTTGTTAACCCAATGCTCAACCCCCAACCTGGAGGACCAGAACATACACACATACACTACTGAAAATTTAGCTTACCAAACTCACCTTTTTATTCTACTCATTTGGACTGTGGGGGAAACCGGAGCACCCAGAGGAAACCGCATGCAAACACGGGGAGAGCATGCAAACTTTACACAGAAATGCTTACTGACCCAGCCGGTGTCACGTTTGATTGCAAGAAAACAGACCCAGTTGCAGCAATGAACAATACAAAGGGGTTTATTGACAGAATAAGGCACAAGTAGACACACAGGGGGATGATAAGGTCCAAACGGTAGGAGCAACAAGACAAGGAAGCCAGTGGTAAAGACAAGATACTACTAAAATGAACAGCCAGCCAGGAGTAGGAGCAACAGTGGTCAAAACCAGATCTAGATCCTGGAGCAGGCCACCTAAACTCCAGACTGTCAGACCAGGGAGGTCAGGACACTGTAAAATTATAAGACACAAGACAGGACAACAAACAGACAGTGATAATATAAAATAAGATAAACTAAAACTGAAATAAAATAAAATCTAAATACTAGTAGACAGAAAGACAGACTTTAGCAATCTGATAAAGCAAAACTGAAATAAAGACTTCTAGAATCTTAAAGAGTAATTAAACAAACGAACAACTACTAATAATTATCTACTAAGAAGACTAGGACTGACAGAAAAACGGAACAATGTCTCTAAGGGTAAAAGTAAAATAAAGATTAGAACACAAAATTAAGTAAACACTAGAAAAAAATGAAAGAAAGTAATAGCTACAAACAAACAATAAATAGACAAGCGATCTAGAACAGGCAAGACCAAAAGCTTAGTACAGATGCAAGGCAAGGATACAAGACAAGCTCACATGGAACGAACCAGCAAAGAAATGAGAACACACAGCGCATTATATAGAACAAAGCACACGAGAGACAGGTGAAAACTATCAGGATAACAAGGTAAATAAATAAGAGGGCGGGGTAACTGAAAGCAAGGAGGAAAGACAAGAGGACCACATGGCCAACACAAGTTAAGACTAAGCAATGTAAATATGCACAGGACAAACAAGCAAACATTAAACACTGACAGGACAGACAAGACTGTCAGGTCAGGACCATGACAGCCGGGGCTCGAACCAGCGACCTTCTTGCTGTGAGGCTACAGCGATACCCACTGTGCCACTGTGTCGCCACATGCAAATTTAAAACATTTATATAAATTAAATACAATACAGTTACATAGAACAACAGTAATCATTAACAATAGTTTTTATTCGTTATAATTGTTTTGTGAACAGACCACAAAAACAATGTAACTAATTTTGCACAATAGGTACATTTAAATTAATTATATATATTTATATTTTAATAAATTTTTTTTTTTTTACAATTTATTTTAATGTAAGAAGTTGTGGAAAAATAAAACATACAAAATCTAAACATACATATATATTAATTTAATACAATACATTTGAAAAGAGGGCGACACAGTGGCGCAGTAGGTAGTGCTGTCGTCTCACATCAAGAAGGTTGCTGGGTCGATGGGTTGAGCCTCGGCTCAGTTAGCGTTTCTGTGTGGAGTTTGCATGTTCTCCTTGCATTCACGTGGGTTTCCTCCAAGTGCTCCGGTTTCCCCCACAGTCCAAAGACATGCAATTCAGGTGAATTGGGTAGGCTAAATTGTCCTTCAAGAGTTCGCCCTTAGCTGATGATTGATTATGGAGCGTGTTTGGCATGCTGTCCCGCAAGAGAGTCCTGAGCTCGTGAGAAACTTCACGCAGTGTATGGGTGTGTTTTTGTGAATGAGTGTGTGTGGATGTTTCCCAGAGATGGGTTGTGGCTGGAAGGGCATCCACTGCATAAAAACGTGCTGGATAAGTTGGCGGTTCATTCCGCTGTGGTGACCCCAGACTAATAAAGTTACTTAGCCGAAAAGAAAATGAATGAATGAATAAACATTGAAAAAGATTTGTACAATTTTATAAGTTTTAAAACAGTTTATTTGTTGGCTGTCTTTATAGTGGCTTAAAGTCAGAATGTTGTTAATGTTGGTTCATGATTTTCCTGATAAAAATTCCCTGTTATAAAGTTTATTTTAAGGTGTCCTTATTGCAGAGCAACTATTTATTTAACTGCTGAGTAATATTAATTAATTACTTGCTACTCTATAGTAAGGGATAGGATGAGGGTTAGGTTTTGGGTTAGTTGATAAATTACAATGATAAAGTAATGGACACAGATGTCACAAAGGAAATATTAAATCAGATCATTTAGAGGAGAAATAAATATAAATTACCGTTTAAATGAACACTGCAAGCTAAAATCAGAAGTGATACATTATTTATTTTGAGTAAGAGCTTTTCCTTTTTCCAGTTAATATTTTCTATTAGAAATCCTCCCATAAAATCATAATGAAAATATGCATTCACTTCTGAATCTAGCATATCACAAATAATCTTTTTATTTTTGCTGAAAACATTTTATTTTTCCATATTTTCACTCTGAGAGAAGAAACTCTGAACAAAACAAGTTGCCATGCTAGAAGAGCCTTTTCATTGAATTTGGAAAGTTTTATAAGGAGCTTAAAAGGGGACAATTTAACAAGAACCTGAGGAGGACATGCCAAAATAGAGTGAATTAATTCTTTGTTTTACCCAATTCACATTGAAGGACAGTATTATTAATGACAAAAACATCTAACCTCTCAAAACATGTAAAAACCTACTAGTTATAAAAGCTTGAGTTCTGCATCTAATGACTGATTCACAACTGGTGATGCGCATATATATTATTCTACAACAGAAAATCCACGTTTTCATGCCCTAAACATTGTAAAGTTTTATAAAATAATTTCGAGAGGAGCACATGATATGATTGAGCACGGCTGAATTCTCATCCATATTCAGTGATAATCCAATGAGATTGAAGCAAGCATACATTAAATAGACCGAAGTTTTAGAAGAATCCCTGCTTCCACCCCATCTCCTCCTTTTCCTCACTTTATATATTTCACCCTCTTTATATGCTTATTGACCAAGCTGGGCTCAGGGTTCTCTCCCGAGACAGTTAGTTAAATACTACAAACCACAAACAAAACTACTTCAGCTGGAAAAAACAACAGTAATTAAGCAAAGATATTGTTCTATACATTAAAAGTTCATAATGTTCAGTTAATTTAATAGATGATGAATACCTGAAATATAATGGCTACACTTAAATATCATAATGTTTGCAAAATCAAAAATACTTATAAGAAGAGCATTTGCTGTACAATAAGTAAGACTTGAATAAAGCCTATGCATTGTTAGTATTAAGTTTTTTATGGATATAAAAAAACATCTAATGTGCCCTTATTTTATGGTAAATTAATAATTATTACTAGTGTGTTTATGCTTAATTGAGATTAGACATAATTTTGCACAAGCTTATTATCAGTTCATCAAGGATTTTGAGTTCAGTGGTCCTTGAGATAAAAAAAAAGAAAATATTAAATTTTTGTTAACACTTTCATTGAAGGTGATGGTTAAACATGTCTTAAGTATGAATTATGCATAATTACTTATAGCTAACCCTAAACCTTTAACCCGCATTCTTACCTCAACCATATAGTAAGCACATGCACTTAATTAATATTACTCCATTGTCAAAGGAATTACACTTTAAATATGTCAACGTAAAGCCAAGTGTAACCAGATTTTGCCATAGTTTTTTGATCAAAGTGTTACAAACTCTAAACCTGATATGGCTCCACAATACATGCTAGACCTGTAACAATAATAATAATAATAAATTAAATTAAATATGACACCTTTAGGTTTAATGAGGAGCCTAGAGACTCATCTTCTATTCTACAAAATAAAAGAACAAAGACCATTGACCAGGAATAATGTAAAGTTCAATTCATTTGATAAATTTAGGTTTAAAGGAGAACATAAATATCTTCACGTACCCATAAATACAACCCAGGCTCATTCTGAAACTGTACCCCTATATACAATTCTGGAGAGCGCCAAATACATCCTAGGAGGTATGTTCTTTTTTGCAGTTTTTGTTTTCGTGAATCCACCAGAGGCCGCTGTGTACGTTTTTTCATATCTCAAATTTCTCTTGCGAGTGCTATTCGCGCCTGCTTTTCTCAGACTGACTGACTGAACCACCCTTCTCCTTCCCTTAAACCTAACCGACAGTATTTTAAAAGCACAGATTGACCCAAGCACCCACTTCCCTAAACCCAACCAGCCGTTTTAAAAAGCAATCAAGAAAAAAACTTCTGTTTTTGTCTTACCCGTTTTCTGAAACTGTTCTGGACTTAAACCTCTATCATTGTGGCCAACTCCGCTCCATATATATATATATATATATATATATATATATATATATATATATATATATATATATATATATATATATATATATAATAAAAAATGTCTCAGCAAAATTCTGATTTATACTCAACGAATGAAAAATTTCAGAGCGCTTTAGTAAAGTATTGCACCTTTCTTCTGCTTCAGGGTGATCTGGGTGTATTGTACTGTGGGAATCTGGGTTTATCCTTTACTGGGGCTCTTCAGCCACTCAGGATTGGCCATCTTCTTCTTCCTTAACATGCTTGTTGTATCACTGCTGTTTTTATTGGGAAAAGCCTTGAACTATAAGGTTTGGGGTGAGTCTTATTTTCATAATAATCAAAATAATGTGTATCTTTTGACAAATCTGAGAATCTGCTTTATATAAATGCTTCCTGATGCCAAAAATGACCTATTTTTATTTCCTTTTACTCTCACAGGGAAAAAACATCTGAAATTTACAAGCTCACGATGAGTCAGACGGAAGTGCTTTAGACAACAAACTTGACATCTGTTTTACTGTAAGTGTCTTCAGGTGAATGTCTGATGTGAATATCTGATGTGAACCAGTTTCAGGTGATCTGAAAAATGCATTTTAAACACTGTAAAAAATGCTGGGTCACACACAATCGATATGTGTTGGGACAACAGGAATAGGAATTAATTTATCTTTATAATTTTTAAGTTGTTCCAAAAACAACTCAAGAATTGTGTTGTTTCAGCTGATTTTAAAAAAGTAGTTTGAACAAACAGCAAACATCAATATATATATATATATATATATATATATATATATATATATATATATATATATATATATATATATGTATATATATATATATATAAAACATGTTATTTATACACCTTTTTTGTATATTCTTTTCAGAAACCATTTCACTTCTGCTATTGTAAATCTACATTGTGCATCTTTATAATTGATAATAAAACGTACTTATTTAATACCATCAAAACGTGTTATCTTTTTAATCTGTTTCATATTTTTCTGCTAATAATGTCTATTGTACATTTTTTTACCATGATTTACAGAAGACTCGCACTTAAAAGTAATTTATTATAACACTATTGTTATATTTGTTAAATTGTTAACCCCCAACGGTTGACAACATTAAAATACCCCCAAATTACTGATTACCTGCCATTTTACATTTTTCATACTTTGCCAGAATCCTTCAGTCCACAAGGTTTTACTATTTGTCACACTGTAAAAATGTTAAGCAAAAAGTATATGTGTGAATGAGTGTGTATGGATGTTTCCCAGTGATGGGTTGCAGCTGGAAGGGCATCTGCTGCGTAAAACATGTGCTGGATAAGATGGCGGTTCATTCCACTGTGGCAACCCCAGATTAATAAAGGGACTAAGCCGAAAAGAAAATAAATGAATAAACAACAACGACAATAAATAAATAAATGAATGAAACACAATCCTTATTACCTTTTGCTTTTTCTTGTTCACTCAACTTTTGAAAACATCAGCTGCACTGACCCATAATTATTTGTCAGTAATACAAAACACATTAAGCTAACAAAAGATTATTAGTTTTCTGACTACTCTTTAACAAAACTTTTTAAGTTGTGCCAACTGAATTTTTTATTGTCTGCAGAACTGAAATGGAAAGTTAAGTGAACAAAAAAAACTATTATGCTGAAAAACATGTTGAAGACATCAGCTGCACTGACCTAAATGTCTTAAGCTGAGTGAACAAAAAAACTTGTTTGGAAATTAGTACTAAATAATACATTATCAAACCAAACTAACATAGTTCAATTGATAAAAAAATAAAACTAAAGCAGAGACAAATGTTATCTAAACATTTATTAGACACAGAATTAGAAAGGCAAAACAACAATAACAGTAAGCAAGCCAAGGATAAAAACATGGCAGGACAAACAAGGGAAAATGCTTTGTAATGCTTCACAGGGAAAAACAAGACTCGGCAAAGAGTCTGTGTGAATGAGGAAACAAAGTAAAAACATTTCAACTATTTTCAAGTTGTATTTTTTTAAAGTTCAGAAAGTTGTGTTAATATATTTAAAAATATTAAAAGTATTAATTTGTACATAAAAATGTAAAGCTAAATGGAGATGGGATGTTTTTCCATGTATTTATTTATTTATTTATTTATTTATATAGTTGATGTCAGAATTATTAGCCCCCTTTGAATTTAGTTTTTCTTTTTTAAATATTTCCCAAATGATGCTTAACAGAGCAAAGAAACTGTGATAATATTTTTTCTTCTGGAGAAAGTCTTATTTGTTTTATTTTGGCTTGAACAAAAGCAGTTTTTGGTTTTTTAAAAACCATTTAAGGTTAAAACTATTAGCCCCCTTAAGCAATTTTATTTCCGATAGTCTACAGAACAAACCATCGTTATACAATAACTTGCCTAATTACTCTAACCTGTCTAGTTAACCTAATTAGCCTAGTTAAGCCTTTAAATGTCACTTTAAAAAGTGTCTCGAAAATATCTAGTAAATTATGTACTGTCATCATAGCAAAGATAAAATAAATCAGTTATTAGCAATCAGTTATTAAAACTATTATGTTTAGAAATGTGTTGAAAAAAAAATCTGCTCTCTGTTAAACAGAAATTGGGGACAAGAATAAACAGGGTGGCCAATAACTCTAACTTCAACTGTATATTTATATATATATAAATTACTGATCTTTTTTCCTTACAGTTTTTTTCTTCTCTTTACATTTTATATTATAAATATATTCATATATTTACAGTCAAGCCCGAAATTATTCATACATTATTATTCAAATTCTGACAAAGTTTTTGTTCAAATGTAAATATTTTTTTTTCCCACAGTGATGCCTCATGTACATTGCCCTACTATCATTTGGGAGAAGCCTGTGCCATTTGCAGTCAAAACAAATCTTGTTGATTGAATAAAAGTAACTTAAAGTCAACTTTAGCGTACTCTTTTGTACCTTTAAGGTATACTATGAGGTACACTGTTACACATTTATACTTTTTTTAGGTATTGCTATTTCCCTTTAAGTACGTGTTAGGAATAAAAACGTAAGTAGGTTTCTTTTTGGTAAGGTACCGCCCCAGTGACTGATTTTGTACTTTAATTTCTGTGATATACAATTTAACGATCTCTCTCTTTCTTTAGCTGACCATTAAACTGAATGAGTGCAGGAGTGTTTGAATGCCCACTGGATGTGATGAGTGTTCACAGTGGATCATTTCAACTAACTCCAGAAAATATCTGTTGATCTTGAGAATCGATGAATAATTATCAGTCTTTTCTATTCATTTCACTGGAGTCTTTCAGAACAGATCCAGATGTTCTTAGTAAAACATTTTGTGGTCATTCCAAGGACTTCCCCCTTCCTCTTAAATAAAGGTAAACCCCCGCTCTCGGGTTTCCCTCTCAGATAATCATCCTGCTGTCATTTCCTCCCTCAGGTTGAGCTTCCTCTCAGGTCTCTGTATTCTTTAATGTGGTGCAGGGTGTTTGGGTCTGCGTCCACCAGCCCAGCGGTCAGGAGCTTAATGATGAGGTAAACCTCCTGATCTTTCATTCTCTGCAGCAAAATAAAAGCACAAAACACACTTCAGTCTCACGCTCAGTCAGGAAAACTGGTATTTCCACATAGCCTGTAGCCTACCTTATTTTTGTAAAGCAAGTTTTTGTCTTGAGAGGCATTTCCGGCTTTGGTTTGAATCTGTGTTGGAGACGATGCAGTCAACAAACATAAGACAGATTTCAGACAGTCTTCATGCGATAGTTTATCCCAAAAAAAGTAAATTCACTCAACATTTACTCACCCTCAAGGGGTTTCTAAACAGGGTTTCTAAACATTGTGTTTTAAACAATGTTGTAACCAGCAGCTATTGACCTCCATGTAACTCAGGCTCATCAGAAATACATGCTGCAGCTACATTTAGGTGAAACCGTTCAATATACTCTTTGTTTGACTGCAGTTTCTATCAATAATATCCAGCTGCAGACCCACACATGTTTCAGTACACACAATGGGGTATATGCACACAGGCTTTTAATTTCAGTCAGCCAGACCCAGGGCTTTCGGTTAATTGTCATCCCATACAGAATCACCATGTTTAAAATCTCTTTAGAGTTTTTAAAGAAGATTTCTTTAAAAAAACTGAGACCTTCACTGCCTGGCTGAGATATGAAGTGGGTATCAGACCATGCAAGAAGCACTGCATTAATATATCCTCCTGAGACCCCGCCCACTGACTTGTGTCCTCTGTAGTGTACATTGCGTTTTCATCAATGTTCTTTGAATTTTTTTAGCTACTCTGTCAAGTCCTGTTGTATTGTTCAGAGGACATCCTGGGCTTTCTAGTGATAAGTCATTTGATTGACTGGCAAACCACTTCTTACACTGCATCCAAAATGGCCGACATACGAAAAAGCACATTTTTTGGGAAGGAGAGAGGCGTGTCAAATTGAGCTTTTTAAATGTTTTTTCACTATTATAATTACATACAGTTGAAGTCAGAATTATTAGCCCCCTTTGAATTTTTTTCTTCTTTTTAACATATTTTTCAAATGGTGTTTAACAGAGTAAGGGAATTTTCTCAGTATGTCTGATAATATTTTTTTCTTCTGGAAAAAGTCTTATTTGTTTTATTTCAGCTAGAATAAAAGCAGTTTTTAGTTTTTTTAAACACCATTTTAGGGACAAAATTATTAGGCCCTTTTAAGCAATATTTTTTCTTGATAGTCTACAGAACAAACCATCGTTACACAATGACTTGCCTAATTACCCTAACCTGCCTAGCTAATCTAAATAACCTATTAAGCCTTTAAATGTCACTTTAACCTGTATTGACCTTATTCTCCGCGGACGAGCGAGCGCAGCCATTTGAATCTTTTTGGCACGAGACTTCCGGTCTCATTTACTTCCATTCATTTTAGACATTAAAAACTGCTCGTTTCGCTGTTTGATGTTGCAAACTGACATTTCCTTGTTATATTATTCTACTTGGTCTGTATTGTCATGCAAACATTTGTTTGTAGAGCAAGTAGTTTGACCGTTTTTTGCCGTTTATTATTCCTTGTCATTTCTCCCATAGGCGACTGAAACGGAAGTTCTAAGACAATCGCGAAAACAGGCGCACTTCCGCATTTTAGAATAAGGTCAATAGAAGTGCCTTGAAAAATATCTAGTCAAATATTATTTACTGTCATCATGGCAAAGATAAAATAAATCAGTTATTAGAAATGAGTTATTAAAACTGTTATGATTAGAAATCTGTTAAAGAAATCTCCTCGTTAAACTGAAATTGGGGGGGAAAAAAACAAGCGGTCTAGGGGGGCTAATAATTCTGACTACAACTGTATATATTTGTTTATTAAAGTGTCAGGAACAAGACATTTAGATTTTCAAGCTGTTAACTTGTTTGTGTTTCAAAATATCCTTTTTTAAATGTCCACTATTGACCTTAATCT